GGTCCCACCCCCTGCCACGGGCAGGGACACTTCCCTCTAGAGCAGGTGGTCGAAGTGAAAGCAAGGAGAGGGTTTAACCGAGCCTAGACTAGGCTGGGGATTAAATACCTTAAAGACAATATTTTAATGCCGAGCCGGTGTGTTTTATAAAGCAGAAAGTGCATAAAATGCAGTTTACACGCCGCACTTCTGGTCCCTGGCGGAGTTAAATTTCCACCCTCCAAAACTTTCCTCCGGGACTTGGAGCAAATTCCCTTCACCGGCCCCTTCCAAGACTGATCCTAAACCCCTCCCAGAGTTAAACCGAGCCTGAGGATCAACAGGACACCACCCACCCCCCCCCCCCCCGAGAGACACGTGGAGGACGGACCTTGCACAAGGCGGGCGATGCTCCGGCAGCGGCTCCTCGGAGCTTCCCGAGCCCCGAATTCCCGGGAGCTGCCGGCGCTGCCTCCTCTGCTCTGCTCTCCCCTCCCACCCTGCCCTGCCCTCCCACGGCCGCTTCGCTCACACACGGATCCGGGCCCGGCCCTGAGCTCAGACACCCACAGAGCCCCGGCACAGTTACGAAAGCCCCGATCGACGAGATCTCCGGAGCTGCTCCTTGTCACTGGACTTCATTTATATTTATATTTATATTTATATTTATATTTATATTTATATTTATATTTATATTTATATTTATTTATTTTATATTTATTTTATATTTATTTTATATTTATATTTATATTTATATTTATATTTATATTTATTTATATTTATTTTATATTTATTTTATATATATTATATATTTATATATAATATATATAAAATAATTATATACAAAAATATATAAATATATAAAATATATAAATATATAATATTATAAATATATATGAATTATAAATATATATTAAAAATATTTGTACTATATAGAAAAGCTATAAATATAATATTATAAATATAAAAATTACAAATATATATTAAAAAGATATAAAAATAGTTATAAAACACATAAATATATGATATTTTATATATATATAAATTATAAATATATATTAAAAATATATAAAAATATATAAAGTATATAAATATATAATATTATAAATATATAAAAATTATAAATGTATATTAAAAATATATAAATATATATAGAATATATAAATATATAATATTATAAATATATATGGATTATAAATGTATATTGAAAAATAAAAATATATAAAATATATAAATATATAATATTATAAATATATATGGATTATAAATGTATATTAAAATATATAAAATATATAAATATAATATAAATATATAAATTATAAATATATATTAAAAATATAAAAATATATTAATATAAAATGTATAGATCATAATTATATAAAAATATATAATATAAATATATGTAAGTATATTTTTTATTATATATATTTATTATATATTATATATATTTATTTAAATATATACTTATTTTATATATATATATATGAAGGACAAAGAATTTTGGCAGCTCACGTGTCGGGGGAGCTTCAAATGCTGGGAAGTGAGAGGGGAAATGTATTTAAATGTATTTTTCGTGCTGTTCCTCAGCTCTGGTCCCTTTTACCTCCGCTGTGTTCCCACAAAATTTGCCAAATGGAACTTTGTTTGCCGGTCCCTCCCCTCGTGCCGCGGCTCCAAAACCCTGGGAAACGGGACAGGAAGGGTGGGAAACGGGATGTTTCCTGCAATTCAGAGCTGGGACAGCCTGACCGTGACTTGACATCCCCTGCTGCACCTCAGCCCCCAGGAACCGTCTCCCCCCTCCAAGAAAAACCCTAAACACAACCCTGAAACCCTAAAGTTGAATTTTCCAGGGAGACCCAGAGTCCTCCCCAGCCCCTCTCTTGCAGCTCCTAAAGCAGATCAACAGAGTTTCTCCGGTTGATCCCAAATTGCAGCAGTCCTCAGCCACCAGAAACCACTTCCCCTCCTTCTAAAAAAACCCCAAAACCAATCCCAAAAGCCTGAAATTCATTTTCCCAGGAGGACCCAGAGTCCTCCCAAGCCCCTCTCCTGCAGTTCCTAAAGCA